GTGAGCATAAGATCAAGTAAGGTTGGTGCAACTAATCATAAGGATTTTGCTTTATTTATTTATTTTTGCTCCAGCACTTTATATAGCATTCATAACACCATTCACTGAGATATTTGTCTTGTTTCATTATAAATGCATCAAGGTTTACTCTTCATATAGGAAATTAATCAGAGTAATCATAAGTTACAAAGACTTTTTTTATTGATTTTTCTGGTCTTGTGCCAGATCTTATATACAATGCTAGGTTTCTCTATCTTTAATGGATTTAGAAACCAATGTGTGCCAAGTTATTAGTATATAATACTGAACAAATATAAAACCCGTAAACGATTAGAGTCAGAATTCTACTGGCATTTGTGAAGGGATGGCATAACTGACAAGGAGTGTATTGAATATGCACAATTGGGCATTTGACCAGACATGTAACTGACAAAGGCCCAACTTCTTGTTAATCAGCTTCTGTTGGCCACAGAACGTTATGCAAGCCTTCCAGGAACATCCTTCCAGGATGCCATGCTGAGTTTTTTTTTCCTGGTCTGTTGGCCACAGAACGTTATGCAAGCCTTCCAGGAACATCAGTAGGATTCCAGCCATAGACATAAATTGCTTATGTTGTTCTTATCTGTAATGATGCCTCTAAGCATTGCAAGGCAAATATTAATTCCAAACATCCTATCTCTCTTTTGTGCCTAACACAAGAGTCACAACTAAGACATACTTTCACATTTAAAAAAGAAGTAAAAGAAGGCCTGCTGTTTACTTTGTATCAAAAACACATGCAGTTTCTCCACTAGAGGGTGTTAACAACAAAAGGTAAAGAAGACATATTACCTAGTAGAATGCACTGCTTTTAGGAATGAGCCTTGCATACAAAGGATGCTGCATGAGGTATAGGTTAAATAAAAGAAACCACAAAGAGAGTACACCTGTCCACATTCTGTTCTTGCCATCCTCATGCAATTTTACAAGAGACACAATCTTTAAAAATTTTACAACAAGAAGATGAAGAACTGGGGCTACTCAGAAACAACATGGTGTATATGAAGTCCTCCACATATCATCTCATTTTTAAATCATAAACTAATTAAATCACTGAAAAAGACCAAGGGAGTATTAATTTCATTGATGCCATGTGTGATTTAGCTTCACTTTTTAGGAACATGTTTTTACAATCAACTTACATAAACTATGTTTTAATACATGTTAATTAATGGGGAATATGTGCTGACCCTTGCTTTATTTACCTAATATCAAACAGAGACATTGCCATTTATATCTTATGAGTGTATGAATGTTTGAATGAATGGGGAAGGGATATCTAAAATGAAACAGAAAATGTAGGGGCAGAGTTGGGGCAGTAAGTTAACAGGAACAGATTTCAGGAAAAAAACTACACTGGACAAGGGAAACTGTGTTGCAAATTTTCTGCAATACAGTATTGGATTTTTTGAAATATACACATTTATACTAAAAGAAACAGAAATAAAAACAGAACATACAAAACAAAAAAAACCACAAAACCACATATTTCATCTCTGAATAGTAGGATTGAGAATATCTTAAAGTTACTACTATCCAGACATAAATATTAAGCACCTGGACAGGTTGTACATTTAGGCCTGAATCCAATCATTAGTCCCAGCTACAGTAAATCCATTGAATCAATTGAATTTTCAACATTGTTAGCCTTCCACGTGCTTATGGATTCAGTGGCTCCACTCTATTTGGCATAACTGGAGTTATAGTTATAGTTGTGTTTCCTCCCAGAGACTTCTGAGTACCATGGGCGGCATATAAATTAAATAAATAAATAAATAAAATAAAGTAAGAAAACAGTAAATCTCTTTTTCACAAATGTTATGCTTAATTGGGAATGACAACATGCAGTGATATAATAACTCACAGGGACTACACAAAGAAAAATATAAAACTATTTAACTGTTCTTTTGAAGGCTAGCAATATTAACCCTTCTGAATAAGTAATAAAGAAGGTTGTTAAATACGTTGAAAGAAAATTGCAGCAACCATGCAAACTCTGATTACAATGTCTATTGGCAGTTTGTTCAAAATAAGCTTGCATTGGAACAGATATGCACAGATATGTAAAACTCCAGCACCAGCATCATACTTTCACTTCTACAGCTGGGAGAAATCTGGTATAATGGATATGAATTGTGTTAAATGACCTATGATTTGTCTATAACACAAGGTAGAAAATTTTTCGAAATGCAAGTACCTTAACTCAAGTTTCTGTTCACTACAGAGCTAATTTAACATAGAGCCCTAACTGTAGCATGACAGAAGAGTCAGAGATAAATTACATATAGTTATCTCTATCCCATCAGATGTCTCCTGTGGCTACAGAGAACTTACTATCATGTTAGCAGTTCCCAATGAGATTAGTTAAAAGCTTTGAAACCTTATTAATGCAAGCTAAGCCTGAAATAAATCCACCTAAGAGCCAAGAGAGACTAAAACCCCTCAAGGCACATCAAAAATCAGACCCAGAAAAGACATGAAAAACACTGCTGTAGAAAAAGAATCAAATGGGAAATTTTGATGTTGAAGTGACATTACTTCTGAAAAATGTTGACTTCTGAAGCACGTATATGTATTAGACAATCCATTACCATCATAGGCTCCCATGCTATCTCTAGCATCTCCTAGTGTAGTGAATTGCACATTTATATTGTTTATAGCAGGGATGTGGTGGCGCTGCAGGTTAAACCACTGAAGCCTCTGTGCTGCAAGGTCAGAAGACCGGCAGTTGTAAGATCAAATCCACGCGATGGAGTGAGCCCCTGTCGCTTGTCCCAGCTCCCGCCAACCTAGCGATTCGAAAGAATGCAAAATCTAAAAGGCGAGTAGATAAATAGGTACAACCTCAGTGGAAAGGTAAACAGTGTTCTGTGTCAATCACCACGGAGAACTGTCTGCAGACAAACGCTAGCTCTATGGGTTGGAAATGGAGATGAGCACCGCCACCTAGAATAGGACATGACTGGATAAAATTGTCAAGGGGAACCTTTACTTTACCTTTATCTATTGTTTATAGCAGAGATGGGCAGAAGGTAAAGCTGAAATCTACTGGTAGTCCTCTGGTTACATCTGATACATTAGCAACCAATTCTGATTTCTTGAATACCAATAACTAAAAGATTACTCCCCCACGCTAAATTACACAGTTCAAAGGAAAAGACTTTGAGTAACCAGAAGTAGATTCTTGTGTGAAATGACTGCAAACTCCATTCAGTCCTGGTACTCAAAATAATTAATATTATATAATTCCAAGCATACACTTTTTAAACCCGGCTCTTGTTGGACACTTAGGAGTATGCGGAAAAAACTGAATAATGGGATAAAAAGGCACACTTGTCAACAGTGTAAGAGACAATACAAGTAAAAAGTTGTGAAGTTAACTGAACATTATCACGAATGGCAGAGCAAGTTTTCTTCATTATTTAACCTTGAGAAAAGCTGTTTCCTCCTTTTGTTATTTTAGCAAATGGTAGGGAGTCCCTCCTGAAATATGTTGCCAGCATGCCACTACAGTGTGCATGCTCTGCAGCATAACCCTCACAGGCTCAGTTTTCACTTTCCTCTCCAAAGAAAACTTATGGTGGATATCTACATGCAGAACATACACAAAAGGATGAACCAGATTCAGATGAAGGACGCATGGAAACCAGTGGAAGAGACATCATTTAAGAAACATAATTTAAGATATGCAAAATACATGTATTACTGGAAGAAAACAGCAGTGGCTTGAAATAACTGCCAATAAAAGTTTAAAACACACAAAAATTACATCTGGACAATAAGATGACATAAATTACTTCAGAAGAATTATGGAGCCTTAATGAATATGCAAAATTATTAAAAATGTTCTATACTTCAGGTCAGTCATCAGTTAAAAAGGAAACTGCAACCAAGAAAACAGAAGACTGATACTTGGAAGGGCAAGCTATGTAGGAACTAGAAAAGATACTTAAGTATTGTTCGAGCTTGAGGCAGAGATCATCCATACTACAACATTCCCAGGCAAAGGTTCACAATGAAGAAAGATGATAGGAAACAAGTCAATTAACTCGAACTTGTTGGAAGAGAACTATACAAAAATACCATGGGTTTTAATTTGCAAAGCCTCCCCAGGGTTCTTAATAACAGAATATTTTGGAAGTCATCTGCTGAAATCCTATTGTTCTGCTACACAAAAGGGAAACTGTCTCAAGTTAAGAAATTTCTATAGACATCATTTGTTGCACAATGAGTCACATTAGTATGCAACAAATGATGTCTATGAAAATTTCTTCACTTGAGGCAATTTGCTCCAAAAGTTATGATTTGGCATAACAGAACAACAGGATTTCAGCTATTAATTCACAAGATCTCCATAAGTCAGAAGCAACTTGAGGGCACATTATAACAAATGGGCAATTTCTCAAATAAAAGGAGTCTACCACAACCTATGATAGCTATGCATAGTTGACTTAGCAAGGTCTCAAAAATAAGGGGAAATGATATACTATCACATGGCTCCCTTCTCCCCCTTGGGGTTCTCTTTGCTCCCACAAGATTATTCCCTGGCCAGCTGCCTACTGCATTCTTTGGAGATTTTTTCAGCCTCATTATATTTTATCATATTCAGAGGATGCCCCATTTCACAGCTAAGCAGGAAGGCATTTCCCTTGCTATTGGAACAGGACCATTATTCACTTCTGCACTTATGCCATGCCACCATTGTCCTCTAATCATGTTGGTAGATACCCCACAACAACCTAACAACTTCCTCCTAAACAGCCATTTTCATTGTATCTGGCAGCCAGCAGGGATTCAGAAACCCGTCTCAAGGGCAACTGATCCTTGTTTCCCCTTCATCAAATGGAGCTCCTGTCAGCTCCTTCCTATAATATGACAACAAATCCTTATGAGATTTTATTAATATAATAGTAATATCTTATATAACAGCACCATGAAAGGCTCACAAAAATCATTCTTACCTGACTGTCTCTTGCTTGGTAACCATGATAACTGGAAGTCAGAGGTTCATTCTGAAAGAAAGCATATTATCGGTTTCGATTAAAGGCAGGAAAAAAGAGAATTGCTGTCTGACATAACAGAGACATAAAAGTGTAACAGTATAGAAAAGGAACAGACAAATGTCCTTTACCTTTTCCCTATACCTACATATATAACATGAGAATCACCAAACAGATAATAGAATTTGAACTTCACATTGTGAGCTCATATTTAATTCAATTCACACTCTATGGCCTTAATTTTTTTTAATAATTTCTTGTTGCCTCTGAAATGATGGCCCTTACACAGTTGGGGGTGTGTGGGAGTGATCTGGTGAAAACAATTGTTGAGCCCATTCTCATGCCTCAAATTCCTGTCTAACCCAGATTAGTCCTGGTGGCTGGCCTTGTGGGATGACAAAACACAGGCAAGTGCCATAGCCTCTCCCAGGGAACTGGACAGCCCCAGCCAGGGGGAGGAGAAATGTTGGGAGAAATGCGGCATATAAATAAAACTAATAAATACTAGAGAGACCAACCTGGCTATCAACTTTCTAGGACATATTAGGCATAAGGGAGCCTAAGTAGGATGACATTCCCCAGGGGAAGAGCAAGATAATGGAATGTGTTCAGAAGGAGGGGAGGCTCAATAGGGTATAAAAGGAAGAGCATTCATAGCGGGAGAGGAGGAGACAGTGGGGGAAATTAGAGAGAGTTGGAGAGATGCCCCAGAACAGGCAGAGAAAGATGAGGGGAATGACGACGGGTCAGAAGCACCAGAGTGGCTCCAGGAGAAGCACACTGTCCACTTGTCTCAGAACATCTTGGTTCAGCATTGCTGCAATCACCCTTAGGCAACCACCCCTACAGAATCTTCAGCCCCTATCCAGCTGAGAGATGGAGGTAAAAACACCAGTTTCAGGATCCATGTCAATTAGCAGCAGAGGTCCAGTCTGCCCAAAAGCAGACTCTTGGGCAACACAGTTGGGGCCGCTGCCAACATTAACAACAATGTAGCAAGGGACAGTGAGGTTAACAACTCCCCAAGACATAGATCAAACCGGGTGGACTGTTGGATGTCATGTATCAAATAAATTGTCTGACTCTTTAAGTCTATGTTGCAGTTCCTGACACCATTGAAATAAAATCTGTTATATTAGTATATTGCCATTGGCCCTTATGACCTACTGGACCATTTGAGAACCTTTTGCCCATGGAAGACTTGGGAGGGGCATGCAGAGAGTATCAACATTTTCAAAGCGTAAACTTCTATACAAAAGATTCTATTTGTATACATTTTTTAAAAATTGCCAAAAGATTGTTTCTTTTCAACTATCAAATTCCAAAATTTTCTGTTTCCCACAGAATCAGCTGGAAAAAATGTCAATTGACATGCTTCACTAGTCCACTTTCAGAAAGCTTAACTCAGCTAACCAACTGTTACACTATACTTAACTTGAAGCCTTCCTCTGCAATCCTATCAATATTAATTTATCATTTTCATAGGTAAATTCTGCTAAAAATAAATTTGACTTCTGCAAAAAAAGGGAAAATATGGTCTTTAATGATTAGCTTTTGGGAGTTTTTTATTTGCTTGTTTTTTTTAGAAATACATTTTTCTAATTTGGATAGACTTTGCAGCCAACTTCTGTCTGGCATCAGATCTAGAGGGGAAAAAATCCCACCATAATTGTCTTCTAAAACAATAAATGGACACAGTTTATTCTGGACAAAAAATAACAAGTCTTATAATTTATTGCATGGAGCAGAAACAGTAATATATTATATAGAAGGGCTGGCTATCAGCTCTATTCTATCTGGATTGACATCCAGTATAAGTAATGTCTAGGTGTTGTAGCTGTTTCTGACACAATACTAACTTGCTAATTTAAGATAGCTGAAGAGTTCTAGATTAAGTTTGAATGAGAAATGACTACAAAAAACCCCAAAAAAGCACACATACACCAGGAAAAAAAGAGATCATTCAAAAGTCATCAATTATTGTAAAATATGATAGCCACGTAAAAGTCAAAAGATATAGGGTGGATTGTTTTTTCATTCAAGAAATGTGATCCACACTGTTTCCAATCTTCCTGCTACTCATTCTGTAACTCTTAATTGAATCTCACTCTCTACAGGAAAGGGGGAAATTACTGGCAACACTGGCATTTCCCCAGGAAGTCTCTGGTGCAGCCAGTTTTACAGGTCAGCAACTTGATGGTGTCTCTTCTCAAATAATTACTCTCTGCAGGATATGCTAGTGTGGGTAACTGAAGGAAGCTTAGTAAAAATCTGTTACAAAGAGTTAAACAGCAGAACAATCCCTTTATACCAAGTCCAGAGAAAATCCCTGTTAATCAGCAGGGGATCCCAAAAAGAAAAAGGAACCAGAACTGCAATACAGAGAAAAAAAATCACTTCATTGTATACATATAAGGAAAGTATCACAGAGGGAAAGAAGCAACATTAACCATTTGCACATATAATTCTTCTTGCTTTTAAGAGGCAAAACAATGTCCAGTACCCTCATCCCAATAAACAGCAACAAAGACCACAAAATCTGATGAAATAATGCGATAGTAAACTTCAATTCCCTCCTTGCTTTTTTCCCTGCTAGTTCAGAATTGCAATTATATAAACAAATAAATCACCTAAGATAGTCCTTACTAATAATAGCTGCCTAGAGTGGTCGAAATGACTAGATAGGCGGGGTATAAATACAATAAATAAAATAAAAATAAATAATAAATAATAATAATAATAATATGATATCAGTCTATCATGCAATAATAACAACAGCTATGTTGTTGTTTTTAATGCCAATAGATATCTCTATGTATTTGAACTCTGGCATACAAAAGTGGAAAAGCAGAGTGGAGAAATAAGGTCAGTGATTTCATGTTTGCCATATTCATTTTGCACTGTCTGTACTAAAGCACTCACGTGACTTGAGTATTTGAATATAAGAACATAATAAATGTAACTCCATAAAATGGCTTGCATTTTGTTCTTAACTTTTCTACATTCCCACTTCATCTATCAACCCAACCAAGAAGCTCTGGAACATCCTTCTGATTAATGGATTACACATCAAATTTACATTAGAGTAGAGATTAGCTTCATTGCATTGCTTTCAATGAAATAAGCATCTATGTGTGGATAAACTGGAGTTGCAATATGAATGTACAAGAGCACATACAAGTGAATGTGTATGCAACTGGAAAAAAAAGCAGTGCAATACTGTATATTCAGTTCACCACACAGACCAATGAGGCCCTCAATTTTTCTATGTAAGCATCTCTAATTTTGGTACCTAGCAGATTCATACAAAAGACAGCTCCTTTGCAAAGAGGGGAATAAAGAGATCTGTGAATTGTGGCATGCTGGTTTTTAACTTGTATTCTTAGGCATCTCGGGAACTCTAAGTGGTTTTCAGCGACAAGAAGTACAATCATGAGTAAATCTCAAAGGCGGCTTCTCTGAATCCCTGTACAAACATTAATGTATCCAAATTCCTCAACCAACTTAAAGGGGGGGCACTTGAATCTGAAGAAGTGAAATTTTGACTCACACATAGGATGTATGTACAAGCAAGAACCCTGATAATCTGGATTCTCACTGCACTAGAATAGGAACTTCTCTTCAGCTTCCTCATACACTGCCTGGAGAAAGTGGCAGAAGAGGGGAACATGGCTAAGCGTTCTCCTTCAAGCATTTTCAGGTAGCAGGATCCATTAATACATTAATAGGCTGCATTATAACTGATCTTTCTCCAATATCTAGTTGGAGAGGAGATCAAGTGCTTTCTTGGGTTCACTATCAAATTTTTGGGTAGCAATACTAAAACAAGAGACCTAGCCAACATTTTATTTGAATTGGCAATACATCTGAAAATGGGCACCAGAATCCTTTATAATGTTCTACAAGGTGGAAAGGGATCCATTAGTGCAGGGAATTTGAAAATTACTATCATTACCCCAGTAAAATAATTTTGTATAAATCCATTTATCAGTGTTAAGAACTGTTAAGCACATACCACTAAGCAGGGTTTCTTCACACACACCCCAGTACTACTACCACAATTCACCAGGAATTCTAGCATCTGTAGCCAAAAAACAAACAAAACACAAGTCCTCAGAGGAGTTTCAGCATACACATTTGCAAGGGGTGTTTGTAAAGATTGTCTTTCTGCTCATTAGGTAGTGTACAAAAAACTTTCAAAAAAAAATCAGTCTTACAGCTACCATGGAACTTAGCAAGTCACACCTATTCTCTCCCTCTCCAGTGGCTGTAGAGAAGAATATGCTGGGTGGGCTCAGGTATATGTGCTGAAATTCCTCCAAAGACCTGGATTTTCTGGCTACAGCTGCCATAATTCTGGCTGGGGAAATTCCTGGTGACTTGTGGTAATTGGTTGGGTAATACATACCCAACAGATACACACACCCTTTGGGTACATACATTTATTATTAACAATATATATCCACATTTCGTAACAGATACTGTATATATTTCAGGTTATATTTTTAGCACAGTGACTTCTCATCTGCTAAACATTCCACATGGTGGTGAAAATGGCATTGACATTCGATCAACTGTCTACACTTGGGATTTTAAGTCCAATAGACAAACTCCTATAAAAACATGATGGAAAGTTACCGTAAATGTTCTAGGAAATCAGCATGTATTATATTTTAGTTCAGCTAACACTTATTTTTAAACTGATCACTGCTTAAATCTCCAAACGGTACACAGATACAGGGAGGAAGAACCATTGTCATTGTATAGAGCAGGGGTCTCCAAACTATGACCCAGGGGGCCACATCCAGCCCACCTTGTCATCTTGCCTGTTCCCTTCAGCCCATGCACATGCATGCGAGTGGGGTGGGGTGGCAGGTAGGCAGGGGTGTGCGTGCATGCGTGCGTGTGGGCATGCGTGCATGGGGTGGACATGGGGTACGTGTGTGTGTGTGTGTGTGTGTATGTGTGTGTGTGTGTGTGTGTGTGTGTGGGCAGGCATCTGTGCAGGGTTT